TGTACATATGTGTATACATGTCTTGCTATTGTTGTGAGGACAAATTTGGGTTTGAAACCATCAGTGTGAGGTTATTTTGGCCAGTCGTGACAGCTTCAAAAGGCTTTTTGAGGGACACCTAGAGTAATTGAGGTAAGTGTCAGGATAAGTCTCTACGACATGAATGAAACTGAAAGTAACGTCCTTTGTACAGATTGAAATCTAACCCTAACCCTAACCCTAACCCTAATCTCACCAAGGAACATTCACATTCAAAATTTCTCCTGGAATTTTCCAGTTATATATTTCAAAAAGGATTTCTGTGTGTGATGTCATCCATTCTAGCTCTGCATATTCCGTGCAATACACACCCATTATAAAATCTGAAACAGTCTAAACATGACACAAAACATCAAGTATGAGTTTGTGAAAACCATGATAGTTTGTACGTAGCAGTATAGCTCCAAAGAGGGCAAGTTTGGTTATTTTGAAGATGTCTCCCCATTCGTTCTCTCTGGGAAGTTTTTCACCTTTAACCGCCATTTATGTCACTATGGTTACTCAAATCGCTTAGAAAAGTCTCTGAACGAGCTGGCTTGAACACCTGTGTCTAGCTGAAAGACACAGAGCTGACACAGATCTGGGTGTGATTTTGGCTCTTCGAGCCTCTCAAACGACTGCTATTTGTGAAAAAATGGTAGCTCCTATGAGAACCATAAGCAGACCATGGCCAGCACAAGATCTGCGTGCACTGCATATCTGGATTTGGTGTTTTTCTTGAGCCACAGGAGCGAGTTACAGAAAAATATCACTTATGCATTTCTCGGGAAATCAGCTCCTGAATTTGTACTGCAGTTGATGGGTGGGGTGGCCGGTACTCCCATCGTTTTAAGGCTCATGTTCAAATTCTTTATGTCTCTGAGCTAAGGTAGACACATTGTATGAAACAGGACAAATTTTTCCATCGAGGAAGTTGTGATGTGTGTAGATGAAATATGTGGCCATGAGGATGAGTTAAACAGAATTTTTTCAGAGGCGTTCTAGAGCTTCTCCCACTGTAGCGATCGTTTTGAAGACATTGCCCCATTCATTCTCTATGGGAATTTTTTCGTCATTCATTTGATACGGAAGAGGAATAAGACGAACTAGAAAATGCGTTTCCTACTGAAAATGTGTGTGAATGCTGAGAGCTGAATGAGATTGCTGAAGCAATGCTGTGTTTGAGCCAAAGTAGCTCAAGCAATTGCTGAAGTAATGCTGAATTAGCTCAAGCAATGGCTGAAGACAAAAAGGAGAAATTGTAAGATGGATGACAAATGGTATGAAATGGTTAAAAAAGGCCTACATTGTTGTTGGAAAGTTTAACCAACAGCACAAAACTCTACAAAAATGTACAAAATGTACAAAACAGAAGTTGAAAACTAAATTGCCTAAATTGGCTATGTATGTATGTACAATCAAAACATGTAATGTTACACCTGAAAGGGATTACTGACACAATGCTAAGATAGTTGAGAAAGCAGATCATATTAAGTTAAGTACAGTTCTTTGAAAAATGAGATGCCAAAATGTTAAACTGGAGGAGCTGAAGTCCATTAGTTGCAAAGGCTGAGAACTGAAATATGTTGCTGAAACAGTTATTTAGCCAAATTATTTACTGCCAAAGGAAGAAGTAGGAATAAAATGCAAGGCACATAACTAGACTGGTTTCAGCTCTTTATCTGTTCTCTTCTCACCTCATCTCTGTGCGCTGATACAGTATTTTGATACATCTTAATTCACAATAACGCTCTTCTCATTGACATGTTTTTCTGTTTCTGTTGTCATGACAACAAAAGAAGTTTGAAACAGTGACTGAAATGTGGCCCAGTAAGACTACATGTTCATCAGCAGTCACTTCAAGCTGTTGCTAAAATCTTGATTTTATAATGACAACGTTGTCTGACAACATCACCAGACACATCAACTAAAGACAAAGACTGGATTTACGGTTACATGATCAGAGAGAAAGTTAGAAGCTTATTCACGTCAACTGTCGTGTGATCATCATAGAGAGGTGTGACTGTGGAGGGAAAGCCTTGCGGTGCGAAACTGACAACTCTCTTCTGTGGAAAGTAGCTAATGTTTGTCCAAAAAGTCACTGGATCTGTCGCTAGATGCTTAGCCGCTAAAGGTTTCTGGAAATTTTAGTTTAGGAAAAAGTTAATCTTGCAACAAAGGCTAAATTGTCAGCACTGCTTTTACAGGATCATTCTGAAAGAGCAACAATCAATGGAGAAACTGCAACATTCAGCCGTCCACTGGTGTAACCTTATCACTCAGTTACATAACATTTGGCTCAGTTATACCCTTTTTCCACCAAAATTAGCACTTTTAAGCAGGTTTTTTTTTAACTCATCCTGATTTACTCCTTTTACACTGCCAGTCAAGTTTGCCTGAAAGGACTCACACAGGGAGCAGTGTCATCACACAGAGCACACACACAGACATAGGTTCAAACAGTGAGCTGCTAGCTGCCATGTAGACTGTAAAGGACATTTAAATGGGTCTGTCAGGTCTCATCCCTGGGTTAATTAAGTTCAGTGTAGTCGCAGTGTTTCTGGTTTAACAACACCATGCTGGACAGGTGTTAGGTGTGTTTATAGTGTCTGTGATCTGAAAGACATTACAGCAGGAAAAGGGGCAAAAATCTGCGAGTTGTGTTGTGTTTACATCAATGCAGATTGGTGCTGGAGTCGATTAATACCTGTGTCTACTGCAGAGTCATTTGACCCAGGAGTGAATGGTGATTGAACCCTTTTCCATTGCTGACAAAAGCCTGATGTTAGCAGGTCTTAGTGGGTTTTTTGACCAGTGGAAAAGGGGCTATTGTCAGTCGCATTCAAAGGGCCCTGCAATCGCAGTCCAGCCACAAAATGAACGTAGCAGGTACACCACACAGTCTTAATAAAAGGAATGAGCACGCTTGGACGGATTATGAGAAAACGGACCCCTTGGTACAGACACATAAAAGGCCCCAGACGTATGATGCAACAAGCTTTGCACACCTGGATTTGGGGATTTTCCACCATACTTCTCTGCAGATCCTCTCCAGCTCTGTCAGGTTCCACAGGCAGTTCCTTTAACCTCGGGGTATTAAGTCATATGGGGTATTAGGTGTAGATTGTGGATCAGTTTAACTGCTGAACTGTGAGGCACAAAACAGAATTGGCAGAAACACAAAGGCAAGAAGTAAAAACAACAACCGACACATGAGGTGAGAGTTTTTTTAATAAAACAGGAATCCAGTTAATGCAAGAGTAACAATCAGCAAAGAGGAAGGAAGAGCTTGGCCCAAAACATTCCCATATTAAATTGTATGTACCTTTAATCCTTTACCTATAATTGATTACCAGATTTGTGTAGGTGTTGCCTATTTCCCCTATTTTCCCATAAACTGCCATTGTGCCTATCAAGCAAAAGAGGCTTTGTTTTTGCCATACATGAAACCACAGCACCATCATTAATTTAAAGGACCATAACTCTGTGGTCATGTGATCACATAATCCATCCTTTTACGAATATCCATGGGGCATTCTCGAAAATGTGACCACCATTAACCAGTCAGTAGCCACCATCATTGCTTTGTGTATCAAGATGCACATTTTCTATGATTAAAACTACCAAATGTAAAGAATTACATTCGGTCTTGGCTGAGTTGCACACTCTGAGTGCTTTCTAACTGAAGCTGTGAGCACACAGGATGTGGTCGAGTCCCACTGAACTGGGAGGTGCAGCTGTGAACTTCACTAATAACAGAGCAGGAGCACAGAGGGTAGAGAGAGTGTTCACATCATTCTCTATTATGCTAACATGCTTTCTGAAAGACAACAGTGTTGAACATAAATGTACAATATAAGGAGCAGGCAGCATGTGGGACTGATAGGGGTAGTTCCTTCATTCTCTGTCGGCTCTTGATGTAATGTAGCATTCAGCACAGCTTCTGTTGAGACATGTTGAACTTGCAGAAGCCAGTAAAAAACAGTGCGGCACCTGCCACAACCAAACTAGTGAAAAACAAAGTGGGGAGGGACACAGCTGTGGTTCAAGACATGTCCAACATAGGCCCTGTTCAGACCTGCATTAACATGCATCTTCAGTGATCCGATCACAAGTGGTCAGCTCTCAGTACGTTGTTCACACCTGAATTTAAAAAAGTCTCCAGTGACCACCTTTGATCAGATCTCACTTCCTGCTTTATTTTTGTGTCGTTTTCAGCCAATCAGACAGAGGAGTCTGTTGTTAATGTGATTGTGTGTGTGTGTGTGTGTGTGTGTGTGTGTGTGTGTGTGTGTGTGTGTGTGTGTGTGTGTGTGTGTGTAAGTGTGTGTGTGTGTGCATGAGAGAGAGGGAGAGAGAGAGAAAGAGAGCGGTACAGAGGGTTTGAGTGAATTATTGCTCTGCTCACAGCTTTACAGTGAAATAAAGTTTTATCCATTTGAAATAGTAAAATATTCTCAGTTCATTATAAACTGTGTTGGGACTAATCAGACTGTGTCAGAGGATGTCAGTAGAGTAGGCTGTCCTTCACTGTGGCCCAGGACATATTCACATTCAATAGTAATAACTTTTCAAGTGTCATAATCACATCAAACTTTGGTTTGTGACTAATTACCTGCAAAACTAATGACATTTCCATCATCTTCAGCTATACTTTGTCTTTATTGCTTATTAGTAAACACACCTGCTAAACATCAGTATGTTAGCATTGTCATCATGCGCATGTTAGCATGCTAGAATTAGCATTTAGCTCAAGCACAGCTGTAAAGTTAGCCAAATCATTTCCCAGCAAATAAACTCTGTCATGATATACTGTGTATATCATGTGTATCATGAAATAAATTTACATCGCTGATGTTGAAAATACTGAAACACGAGAGGAGCTGACTGAGAAAATGACCAGTACACTGGATGTGACATAACTAATAAGTGATGATAATTGTCTTGTGAGTAATTGTTGTTTGTGTTTTTCTGTGTTACAGCCAGTTGAAGATGAAGAATGCACCTGCCCAACATCTACTTCACCAGGTAAACTGATTCTGATAACGAGAGGAAAATAATCACTGAATCATTCTGCATCAAAATTGCATAATTTCTTTTTACCCTGATATATTAACATGAATATTTGCAGCCTTGATGAGGCTAAAGGGTATTTTATTTTGAAAATTCAATGACTGTGTGAACACAGGAACATAATGTTATGGATGTGACAGTGACCTGCAGCATAGACAGATAAGAGACATGGGGAAATAGCTCAGCAGATATTTCTTGGAAATCTTTTAATGTGGATACAAGTACTAAACTTGACAAAAATCCTCCTTGAGTATAACTTTTTTGATAAAAAAAAAAACGTTAGCTACTCAAAAATTCAAAATGGCCACCATTTCCAAGATGGCTGACATTTTTTGCAATTGATTCACCCACAATTTTCCCATGTGAATGATGAACTGTCATCATTCACATGGGAAAATCAAAAAGGTTGACAACATAGAAGGTGAGATTTAGTTCCCTGTAAAAATGAAACCTGTGAAAATTTTAACCTTTTACCTACATTTTACAAATTAAAAGTCTTGCTGAATTAGAACAATCATGCCGAGTGACAGGCCAAAAACCTTGTCAGCATAAAAATGATTATAATTATGTGCCTGCAATGCAATAGCATTGAAGCTATATATAATTATTCTGCATACTTATTATGTGCCTGCAGGGCAATAGCATTGAAGCCATATGTTATTATTCTGCATACTTATTAGTGTGAATACTGAGGCACTACTTCAGCATACTTTCAGCTACAGACTTCATTTAAACTTTAAAATGTTTTACAAGACTTTCAGCTATTGAACTTGTATTCAACTTTTTGTACAGTTATTGAATTATCACAGTTTTAGTTTCATGCTTTTTTTCAGATCATTTTAGAGTTTATAATGGGTGTGTATTGCATGGAACGTTCAGGGCTAGAGTGGATGACATCATCGCTAGAGTGGGAGAAGCTCTAAAATTTGTCTGAAAAAAATCTGTGTAACTTGTCCTTACGGCCACATATTTCGATATTGTCACATCATTTCTTCCTCATTAGTAGACAAATTTGTCCTGTTTCATATAAAGTGACTACCTTAGCAGAGAGACTAACAGAATTTAAACTGTCAGCCTGAAATCGATGGGAGTACCCTCCAACTGTCCCATAGACTGCAATATAAATGCAGGATTGGAATTCAGGAGGAAACCAGAACTGACCCTTTTTTGTAACTCGCTCCTATTTCTACATTTTTGGCTCCAGAAACACCAAAACCACATGGAGGTGTTCAGGAGAGTGTTGTGGCAATTGTTTCAACAGCATGTTTCAGTTCTCATCATTTGCACCTAATGGATTTCAGCTCCTCCAGTTTATCATTTTGGCATCTAATTTGTCAAAGCACTGTACTTCAGTAAATATGAGCTGCATCCATCAGCAGTTCAGGCGTTTATTCAACCATATCATCTCATTCAACCTCAATTTTATAAGTTCTGCTTTTAATCCTCAGCAATTGCTTGAGCTACTTCAGTATTGCTTGAGCTACTTAAGCATCGCTTCAGCAGTTGCATCAGCTACTCAGCAATTGTTTGAGCTACGTCAGCATTGCGTCAGCAATCTGATTCAGCTCTCAGCATTCACACGCATTTTCATAATTATTAATCTTATTCATCTTCCATATTGAAATTCTACCCAAACAGTATATATATCAACGCATGCGGTTCGATCAGAAATGGTTTGCTATGACTTTTCTTTGTCTTATACTAACCATAGCAACATAAATGGCAATAAAAGGTAAATAAATTCCCATAGTGAAAGAATGTGGAGACGTCTTGCACAGAATATTCAGAGCTACAGTGGATGACATCATTGCTAGAGTGGGAGAAGCTCTAGAACTCCTCTGAAAAAATTCTGTTTAACTCGTCCTTACGGCCACATGTTTCAGTCTTCGAACATCAAGGCTTCCTCAGTAGTAGAAGAAATTGTCCTGTTTCATAGAATGTGTCTACCTAATCACAGAGACTTACAGAATTTAAACATGAGCTTCAATGCAATGGGCGTACCCTCTACCTCTCGCATTGACTGGAATACAAATTCAGGAGCTCATTTCCTGTGAAATGTAGAAGTAACATTTTTTTGTAACTCGCTCCGGTGTCAACATTTTTGGCTCTACAAACACCAAAGCCAGATATGCAGTGCACGGAGGTCTTTTGCCGGTCATGGTCCGCTCATGGTTCTAATAGGAGTTACTGTGACTTCACTAATAGCAGTCATTCGAGAGGCTCAGTCAACAGATTCCTTGATCGCTGTAATATTTACAAACACTACCACACACACACTGCCACACACACACACACAGGCAGAAAGCTTTTTACAAGTTAGTGCTCATAGAGAGAAGTTACAGTTCAGACTGGACAATACAGCAGCAGACATATGGAATTTTCTTTGAGGTTTGAGCTACAGGAACTGTTCAGCTATCATAGTGGCTTTCCCATAGACTGCAATACAAATTCAGAAGCTGATAGCAAACAGCAGGTCTCAGGTCTCAGCAGGTGCTACTAATGCAGTATCTGGGCAGAAATGAACAAAGCTGTGTGTACTTGTATGTGCATGTGGTTGTGTACAGTTGTGTATTGTACTTTATTTTAGTGGGTAAACTGTTGCTTCTCACCTGGGAACTGATATATCTGGTAACCTAAAGATGTTCTTTAACCTTATAGTTTTATCATATATTATCATTATTATGTCATATTTTACCCCTCCATCCCAATTTTCAAATGTAACGCAGTAACCCATTTACTCAGAAACATTTTAACTTACTTACTTTGTTCTTTTATCTGAGAACATTTTTACACAGTTATTTACTTCGACTGATGAATTTTCACTAATAGTAGTGATGCCATTCATGTGGTGACGTGATGACGTCAGTGTGGTGTCTCATCTCCAGTCAGTTTATGTTACTGATAGAGTTTATTGCTGCTCTGACTGAACACAGTTAATGTTGCTGTTTTCTTCATCACAGTGTCTAACTACCAGCTGTACATTTAAACTTACACTAGTTCTGCTCCAGCACTTAGAGCTCTCTGCTCCTTTTAGCGACTTTCACTAACTCAGCAGTTGTTTACATGTTGTTCAGATCTGCTAGTTCTAGTCCTCTCTCTCACTCACTCGGTGTGGTGTTCGGTGTTCGGTGAGGATTGTGATATTTATTACATCTTCAGCAATGTGTCTGCTGTCTTTAGGCACAGCTCCACTTGCTAACCAGAGCTAACTGCCATCCTTGAAAATTTTCGTTAAAAAAGTCAGACAAGCACTTTTAAATTTCACAATTTCCAACCTTCATTGACAATTTTTATATAAAAATGATAAATCAACACAGTGTATTTGCATGTACTTGTGTGTGCGTGTTGATGTGTGGTTCTTTGCATATGTGTACATGTTTTTCTATAATTGTGAGGACAATTTTGGTTCAAAACCATTATCTTGAGGTCATTTTGGCTGGTCCTGATGACTTCAAATGGCTGTTTGAAGGTTAAGTTTATGCAGTTCCCAACACCACGCACACACATACATTGAAAGACACACAAACTCCATCACCACCATATGGATATTAACTGTATAAGTGTCTCAATCTGGTAACACAAGCTTTTTGGAGGCTCTCTGGTAGACAGCTGTACTGCCACAGCAGTTCCTGCAACAATACAACAATGCACACATGCACATTGACACACACACACAAACACCATCTTACTTTTGTGATACTCACTTTCAAAATAAGAGTCTCAATCAGGTATAAAGAACTTACGGGAGGTTTTGTTGGGCAGCTCTACTGTTATTCACAAAAACACACACACACACACACACACACACACACACACACACACACACATTGACAGAAACACACAAACACCATCTCACGATTTGGATTAACTTTCAAAATAAAAGTCTCAACATGCTAAGAGGGAAGTATTGGCTCTGTTGTACAAAAAACCTTATGCAATTTATACTGCCAAACACAGAAGCACAGACACTTTCAAAATAAGAGTCTCAAAAAGGTAAGAGGTAAGGTAGGTCATAAAAGTTCGATCTTAGAAGCTATTGTCTATATGGGAATATAGTGGTATAGCTTTATTGCAGATCAACTTCTGTAAGGACATGTACATCTGTGTATACAAGTCTTGCTATGGTTGTGGGGACAAATTTTGGATTGAAACCACCAGTGTGAGGTTATTTTGGCCATTCGTGACAGCTTCAAAAGGCTTTTTGAGGGACACCTGCAGCGACTGAGGTCAGTGTCAAGATAAGGCTTAACAACATGAATGAAACTGAAAGTAAGGTCCTTTGTGCAGATTGAAACATGAGGAGTACACACACCAAGCAGCAGGCACATTCAAAATTTCTCCAGGAATTTTCTAGTTATTTTAAATGATATTTGATTCACATTAAGAGTTGTGAATTTGATATCCTCATAATCAAAAACACGGGGTTCAATTGCCAAATCGTTGAAATCTGTCCAGTGGGTAAAACTGTGGTAAAATATGTGTTTCATATACTGGAAATTGTGATGAAAATGGCGGTCTTTAGAAATTTCAAATGGGTAATGGGGTTTTTCAAATTAATGGCCTCAGACAGATAAACATATCAATTTTGATCCTTGTATCCACTGAAAGATTATTACAATTATCTGCTGCACTAAAATGGGGAACTGGGTGTGTACCTTTGACCATTAGACCACAGGGACGCCCAGTATGGCCACCAAGAGGTGGATAGTCTAAGTTACCGAAGAAATTATATATTTATTCCATTTTAAATTTGTTGTTGATGTACTGTAATTTGTGATGCACATGTTCTCTTATGCTAACTCCATCTTCCTGCATCTCTGAGCTCAGACTACCCCAAAGAACTGCAGCTATTAAACAGCCCCTGTGAAAAGTGTTGCTTCCCAGCTCCACCCCCCAAGATCAGCGACCTCATGAACGACAAAGATCTGCTGGACTTACTGCGACTCAAACTGGATCCAAACCACTGCACCATCAAAAACTGGAAGAACTTTGCAAGTCGCTGGGGGATGAGCTATGACGAACTGACCCTGCTGGAGCACCGGACCCAGGGCTCGTTGTCCCACAGCCCCACCCAGGAGTTCCTGCTGCGCTACAATGAGAAAACGGTCACTGAGCTCACTGAACTTTGCCGCATCTACCAGCGCATTGACGTACTGCGACTACTGCAGAGCTGGATAGAGAAGGACTGGCCATCTCGGTGGCAACAGACTCAGTGACCAGTTTGACTATATGTGTATTTATCTTTCTGTCAGGGTTCTACTTGTTAGGATTTTCTTCCTCTTCCTGAGCTTGGGCACATGGCACCACATTTTTAGTAGCTTAAAAAAGGTCTTAAAAAAGGTAAAACATTGACTTACAACAGGAAACTTCCTGTGGAGAATGTCAGCACCATTGGGTGCAGGTTGCACAGTATCTCACAGACAGTTTAGCACTTACTCACATTCTACTGGTCTGTTGCTCCAGACTGAAACATCTCAACAAGTACACAGATCTCCATGAACAATTGTACAGATCTCCATGGTGACTGGATACATCCTCTTCATCTAGCAGGACTAAATTGTCAGCAACATGTACTTTACACATTGGTACAGAATTCATTGCAGACATTTATGGTTCTCAGACTATGACTCTGTTGATGTTTTTGAGGTGAACTACTCGGATGGTTTCTATGAAATGTAGTAAACACTTTCATGTCCTTCTCTGGATGAGGAAAATGTCAGGAGATCACCACATTTTTGACATGGTGATCTCCTGACATTTTCTTTAATCATCAGGTCAAAGTTTTAATGTGTTCAGCACTTTGGTTTATGACCAAACACCTGAACCACTGACAGTTAGATCATCATCATCTGTTCTTTGTGTTTAGTGCTAATTTGCAAATGTTAGCATGCAAACACACTAAACTAAGACAGTGAATATGGTTAACATTATGCCTATTAAACATCCATCATCGTGTTAGCATTGTCATCACATGCATTTTAGCATGCTGACCTTAGCATGTAGCTCAAAGCAGCACTGTGTTTAAGCCAAGTGCATAGGTTTGGTTTCAACATTAATCTATGGTTTATTAACATAAACATAAAAACTACACAAAGTAACAGATCAAAGACAACAGGAAAGTTAACTTACTTATTAGGAAATTACTTGTTAATGGAAGTATTATTAATCTAATAATGTAAGGCTGGTGACGTTAGAATTATTTAATATGACTTCACTCTAAACAGTGTGAACGAGTTCACTCAAATATTGGTAGGATATGTCCCTACCGTCCATATGCAAACCTACGCCCGTAGGTTTTGGTGCCAGCGAGCAGGGCTCCAACAGTTTGGTAATGTCCTGATCTTGACATTGGTTCTGGTGTGGTGTTTTAGTGGCAACTGAAGAGCATATGGGAACAGGTGGGAGGTTCATTCAAATGAAGCAGTGCAAAGCAAGTTGTTGGTTTTTAGTGGGAAATGGGCCTTAGACTGTAACTGAGAATTGAAGCCACAGAACCACATCTGTTTCTAACACGTCACTTCAGGCCAGTCTGGTGATTTTATCAAGCGCAAACACGGCAATGCTTTTTTATCTCATCACTCCACAGCCAGCAGAGGCATTTAAACATTGTTTACTGTGTTTGAAGCTGGAACATTAATAAATCTGCATTTATCTATAATAAATATGAATGATTCTTCCAGTATCTGTAGCTGCTTCATACTGTACGAAAAGCTTCTCCTGTTGATTCAATCACTGCACACACACCTGTCCACACCTGTCCACTGTGTGCGCAAGTCATCTGGCTAACTCCATAAAGTACTACATACATCACGACTCAGTACTCTGGTGTTTACAGCAGCTCATCTGTCCTGTGTCAATGCTCCTTTCTAACTTTATTTTGAGCAAAGTTAGCATTTTATGTTTTATTCTTGAACCGCATTTCAGCACAAATGTTGGGGTGCATTTTACAATATGATGTGACTAATTATAACGTGAGATGGTAGAAATAAAACTGAAAAAGTGTCCCACTGATGTGATCATAGAATCTAATAACAGTTGACACCCCCTGTTTCTGGCTGCAGGTTTGAGATCCAGACAACAGCATAATTTCCAGTAGAAGCCTCTTTCCATTCATTGAGCTGCTGTCATGCCTAACTGTGATTGGCTGAGCTATTTCAGAGATCAGTGATGTGATTTTATTAATCACCACCCCCCCTCTGATTACACCTCAACCTGTTCTGCACTTTGCCCTGATGCACCCACACAGTGTAAAATAACCACACAGGTCATGTGATCAGCCCTTAGTCTTGTTAATGTGCATCTGACTGTATGCGTGTTTAACAAACAAAGCACAAGAGCAGTGGCAGATTATAACACTCATACTCATACACACCATGTCAGCAGAATCTTCTTCACAACCTCTGAGTGATAATCACACTGTATCTCGTTTGCTGTTCTAATTGCCTCTTGTGGGGTGGAGGCAGTGGGATGGAGCTATGTGGGATACATCAAAACTTAAAGATAGATCAACAAGTATAATAACTCTTTCATAAACATCTTCTTAATTTAGTCAGATCAAACAAAGTAGTCAACAAAAAAATATAATTTGTTCAATTCAAAAACTAAAAAACTAAAGTTAAACCCTTTAATGCTCTTCAGTGTTATTTGTCAGTCTTTTTTTCATTTGAAGAAACAACTTGTCTTTATTATACTTGTTTTCTCATTGTGAAATAAACATGTCAAATTCCATAAAATTTGAAAATTAGAAAATTAAGTAGCCTAAATGACCAATCAAAAAGTTGTTTGTTCAGTACAGTACCTTTTTTTAATGGTATCTTTTTTTTATTAGTAACACATTATTTTATGGCTTTATTTTATATTAAACAAGCATGAAAATTTGCAAATGTACAATTCAAATGATATAGAGTGAAGTTTCCAATAATAAATGCATATTAACTTGTGTGAAATTGAGCTTTTATTTAAGGAAATTCCAGTTTTTCAAAAAGTACAAAATTACACACTTTTGTCGTGTGAGCTTCTTATGCATTAATTAGAAAATTATGGATCTGTAAAATGGAGGGTTGTATCCATTTACGTTGGATATAAACCAACGAGTCATCAGTTTTATTATATTCCTTCTTTTATATTATAGGAAATAATCACAAGTATATTGAATGTATTGAGTTATGTATTTACATTGACATACAACTGACTTATCTTTTAAAGTTTTTAAGGTATGGTAAATCTCAGAAACTTAAACTGCTCAATGTGATCATATGCAATACTGAGGACGTTATTAATAATAATAAGTAACATACTTCAAAATCAACTGTGTATAGAAAAAAAAGCTCATATAAATAACAAGAATATACACATAGTTTATAAAAACAAGTTGGCAACCGAAAGTTATTGCACGTGGCTTGGCTGGAATTATCTGCAGAAAACTGTGGCAACAGTTAACTTGTATTTTTCTTTACAATGTTTCTGAACCTCTAACCAGACCTAGTCAGTGTCTGAATCCTTGACATTAAGGCCAAGCATGTTGGAGAGGCTCAGTGACAATTTGTCATTTTCATCTGATGTCAGAATTTCAGGGACCTCCAGGCCCAGGACAGATTCTGGCTTTTCTACTTTAAAGGTGCCTCCTCTCACCAGAGAGGAGTCTCCTACTTCTGTAGAGGTGCTGACATCAAGACTCGGGGCAGCAAGCTTCAGATCAACGGTTTTAGCTTCAGTTGGGGAGACATTTGCTGAGGGTGCTTTCTCCTTTGCTATTTTCAATCTCTCCATAATGTCGATCTTCTCTCCTGCTTTTGATGTTGTGTTTACTATTGGCAAGCGGATCCCTTTTCTGACGACATAATCCTTAGCCTCTGTGTCAAGTTTTGATATGCCCAAGGTGTCACCAATTTCTCCAATGCCATCAATGCTGTGTCTGGGCAGTCTATGGAATTTGAATGCAGGAACCTCCACTTCAGCATTTGACACTTCAGTTTCAGAGTCAGCACCACTTCCCTCTTCATCAGTGCCTGAACCAGACTTTAGTCCCCATTTGAAGGGCCATCTCAGCTTACTTTTTGGAGAACCTTTAACTTCGGCATCTGCTTCAGCTGTGAGATCCAGATCAGGTGTGTTCAGACTTGTCTTCGTTTCAGGTTCAGAGACACTGACATCAGGTGAACTAAGATCCTGAGCTTTAGATCCTGAAAATCCAAACTTTGGAAGCTTGAAATGAGGCAATTTGGACTTTTCAAGATTAGCATCCACATTTAGAGCTTTCACATCTATTTCAGGTCCTTTGATATCTCCCTCTAACTTTGGTGCACTAGGGTCTATTGCAGGAACAGAGATGTTGTCATCCGTTGTAATAGTGCCTACGTTCACCTTGGGTGCCTCTACTCCAGCCTCAATTGAAGGATTAACTCTGGAAACTTCTACTTCAGGACTCGAAAGGCCAAGTTTTGGAAGCTTGAAATGAGGCAATTTAAAGTCACCCATATGAGAATCCAAAGCTAGATCTGGTGTTTTTAACTGTGCATCATGTCCTTTGAGGTCTGCTTTGGGCAGGTTCATATCCACATTTGGAGCTTTCAGTGTTACATCAGGTGCTTCCAGTTCAGCTTTTGGTAACTTGATATCTGTGTTTGGTGCTGAGAGGTTTCCATGAATTTTTGGTGAAGAAAGGCTCAGATCTGGTACCTGGAGGTCTGCCTTTGGTAGATCCACACTTGGTCCCTTTACACCAGCTTTGAAGTCTGGTAAACTGATGTTAGTTTTTGGGGCCAAAAGGTCAGCATCCAGATCTAAGTTAGGTGCTTTGACATCAGCTGTTGGCAACTTAAGATCTACATCAGGAACAGAGACATCTGGAGTCTTTAGTTCTGCATCAGGTAACTTTGGTTCTCCAATGTTAAGTTTTGGCATTTTGAATGTGGGCATCTTTAATTTTCTAGAAGGAGCGTCAATGTCAATGTCTACATCCGGCCCTTTCAGGTCTGCTTTGAGCAAGTCCAGATTCACGTCTGGAGTGGCAATACCACCTTCAATTTTGGGGACTGAAATATTCAAGTCTGGTTCTTTCAGATTAACACCGGGTACTGTTAGATCTGCTTTGGGTAGCTTTGCATCTACATCAGGAAGAGACAGATCCAGATCTGGACTCGTAAGGTCAGTATCAACATCAACGTCAGGTCCTTTCACTCTTGGCCCAGAGAAGCCAAACTTTGGCATTTTTATTTTGGGTAGCCTGAATTTTCCAGCTGAGGCATCAACCTCTGGAGCCTGAAGGTCTACATCAGGACCTTTGAGATTGGCTTTTGGTAAATTCACATCAAGATCTTGTGCGTCAAAACTGCCATCGATTTTTGGTGCAGACAATGAGAGATCTGGTGCTTTTATGTCTACATTAGGTGCATCCACATCAACCTTAGGTAAGTCAAGACTAGGGTCAATGTCTGGTGCTTTTAAATCAGCAAGTAATTCTGGACCCTTGACTTTTGGCTCTTTGAATGTTGGTAGCTTGAATTTAGGTAACTTCAGTTTTCCATCGGGTGGGTCAAGGTCAAGATCTGGACCCTTAAGATCCACATCTGGACCTTTGACATCAACATTAGGCATGTTGATACTTAGGTCTGGCGCATCAATCCCACCCTTAATATTTGGTGCAGAAAGATTAACATCTGGCGCACTCAAATCCACATCAGGCCCCTTGAGGTCCACATCTGGTACCTTCACATCAGCATCAATGTCAGCCTTTGGGCCCTTCAGTGTGCCAAATTTGGGTTTCTTTAAAGTGAACCATTTGAATTTTCCAGATGGGCCTTCAACATCTGGAGCATTAATGTCTAACTTGGGGCCTTCCAGATCAGCTTTTGGTAAGTTTAGATTTACATCTGGTGCATTTATTTCACTATCAATCTTTGGAGCAGAAAGATCCAATTTAGGAGCTGAAACATCTAGATCAACATCAGGACCACTAACCTTTGGACCTGAAACTGACCACTTTGGCTTTTTAAGAGTGGGAAATTTGAGCTTCCCAGATGGAGGGTCAATGTCTACATTTGGTGCTTCAACATCAATACCAGCTTTAGGTAGATTCAGATCAAAGTCAGGTGCTTTCACATCAGCATCAACATCAACGTCTGGGGCTTTCACCTTTGGTCCAGAAATCAAGAACTTAGGCTTTTTGAGTGTTGGGAACCTGATTTTGCCAGAAGGGGCCTCAATGTCAGCATCTGGTGCTTTAATATCAACATCAGCTTTGGGTAAATTCAGATCAACATCTGGTGTGTTCAGATCTGCATTAAGGTCCAGATCAGCTTTGGGGCCATGAAGTTTGGGTTTTTTCCACTTTAGATGAGGCCAGTTAATTTTCCCTGATGGAGCATCAACATCAAGATCTGGGGTATGAACGTCTACATCGGGGCCTTTCAGGTCAGCTTTTGGGAGATTGAGCTCAGGGTTTGGTACAATAATGCCACCCTCAGTATTTGGACCTGAGAGATTTAAATCAGGTGTGTTTAAGTCAGCATCTATGTCTAAGTCTGCTTTTGGGCCATGAAGTTTGGGCTTCTTCCATTTCAGATGAGGCCAGTTGATTTTACCAGATGGAACTTCTCCATCAATATGTGAGCCTTTCAGGTCTGCCTTTGGCAAATCAATGTCAACTTCTGGGGCATTTATCCCACCCTCCACTTTTGGAACAGAGAGATTAACATCTGATGTGTTCAGGTTTGCATCTAAGTCCAGATCAGCTTTTGGTTTCTTCCACTTCAAATGAGGCCAGTTGATTTTACCAGATGGGACATCGATGTCAGGGTTTGGGGTTTCAACATCTAAAACAGGGCCTTTGATGTCAGTTATGGGTAAGTTGATATCAACGTCTGGAGCACCTAGATCCCCATCGATCTTTGGTGTGGAGAGATTGACACCAGGTGCAGAAAAGTCAGCATTTAGGTCAGCATCTGGTCCTTTAACTTTGGGACCTTTCCATTTTAGATGGGGCCAGTTGATTTTGCCTAAGACTGGCTCAATGTCAACATCTGGGGCTTCTAAATTTACATCAGGACCATTTAGATCCACTTTTGGCCCATTCAGGTCCAAATCTGGACTTTTAAGATCTAACTTTGGGGCTGACAGGTCCAGGTCTGGTGTCTGTAGATTTCCGTTGACAGAGGGGAGATCTATGTCTTCAGAAACGTCCACTTTTGCTTTTGGTGTTTTGATCTGAAGTAGATTGAATTGTGGCATTGTGAATTTTGGGGCCTTGTATTTTCCGTTGCCGGTCTTGATTTCTGGTTTCTTGACATCAATCGAGGCACTGGGTGTGTTGACACTGACATCAGGAGCTTTGAGGGTGCCATCTAGATCTCCTTTTATATCTGGTCCAGTCAGTCCTACAGAGGGCATTGAGAACCTGGCATCAGCATCAGCTGAGGGCTTATTTAGACTGAGACTGGGAAGGTCTCCATTGAGAGTGGGACCACTTATTTCACCACCCAATCCCTGTGCAGCGTTTAACTTTCCATTCAGGCCATCAAAGGAAACAGCTGGTGCGTCTAGTGACATCTGTTGGTGATGAAGTGATAAACACATTAGGTTAACACACACTTTAAAACCACTGAAACATAATTTAAAGCAACTCTCACTTCTTCATATATGAAGCTGCTGTTACTATTAATATGTTTTCTGACAATTAAATTAATTCATAAAATGTGCAAAAAGGCATTTGTTGCAGGTTTTAGGGATTTTCCAAGTGGCCTGAAAGAAACTAACATCATATCAGTGGAGGATGCAACACAGCAGACTTCACATCAGAGTGGGTCGCTTCATCCAAAAGTACGTATTAACCATACAGATAGTTTTGGTTTCATATATGTTATCAGAACTATTTTGCATGAAGATATTATACATCCTGTTTAAAACTGTTCACAACTATTAACTAAATGTTATTTTTCAATGCTGTGAGCATCATAACACATTCTCCACTGCAGTGGGGTGGAGCCAGAACTACCTGCATGGATGGAAACTACTACTGTTCAGTGTTTCCTTTTTAATTTGGGTGAAATAAACTCTTTAATTTTCGCCTTGGCTTTGGTTATGACGTCTACCTCTGCAGAGTCTTTGAGACCTAATCCGAGGGAGCCAAGTCCCACACTGGTGCTCAGCTCCTTCTTCGTCAAGACCTTCATATTGTTATCATACGGCTCCAAGACCCTCAGGATGTTCAGCACTTCATTTTTGTTGAGGTGGTCCAGGTGTATAGTGGCTGCAACAATCTCATCCCCTGCAACACACAGGAACAACTCACTAAATGTCAACCACCATGTTTTTTTTTTACAGATTCTGGTCTGGTCTGGTCTGGACTGTCCTCTGTCCAAAGATTTCTCTCTCACCTGCTTGCAGCCCACTCTTTGCGGTGATGGTGTCGTCAGTGATTCCTTTAATGACGACTCCTTTCTCTGAGTCGTCCAGGACCAGGCACTCTGAAATACTTGTACTCTTGCTGTCTGCGCTCTGGATTTAAAGTGGTTATAATACACAACATAAGACATCGTCTATCTTGTCAACATGGATAAAGACCATTGACATTTTGTTTGTGTAAAACTGAAAATTGTAAATTAAGTATTAAAAAAGAAGGTCTACATTTTCAATTTTACTATCCTATATATTTCTTAGATGTTTTTTGTGCTAGTTTGTCATACTCACCATCATTTTGTGTTTTGTGTTTACATCCACATATCAAGAAACCACGGGATAACAGAACCACAGTAGAGTTACCTGTGAACACCAGAGAAAAGCAACATTGCTTATTAGTTTATGTGATTGGGTTACACACTGTGTAGCTTCTGCAAGATGACGATCAAATCTCTGTAAACTGACTCCAATAAAAGATTATTGATTATTAGTCATTATTACTGTTCATGAAAAGCTGTTCCTTCTTTCACTTAGATGGACACAGCCAGCAACATGGTTTTCATTCTAATAAAGCACCAGTTCAGGTTTTCACTATGTAATTCATTTTTAAACAATGCCCAAAATGAACATGATGATTTGGTATTTCTTGGTCTTGGTTTGATTTGGTTCAAACTGATGTAGAAGTATTGAACTGCTTCCAAATACAGGTGTGTGCATTAGATTCTAGCGCCAATATTTGGACCTGTTTAACTATCGTCTGACTTGATTTATGGTTTGTTTTCATGTTTAATTTGACCTATGTACAAGTGACCTAAAGTATGTGGCAAGTCCTGAAATTTGACCCCAGATGAAGACACACAGTTAGAACATGAACTTTGACCTTGGTAGAGGAGACGATGGCAGCACAAACAGCAGCATCATAAGGAATCACAGCAAACACCAGTGGGGGTCAAACTCATCCCTCTACACATCCTTGAGTTCTTCATCTGCCTTTACCCTGACAGACGGAGAAACGACACCCACACACACATCACCTCAAGCCTCAGGAATCCAAAGCCTGCGCCAGGTTTGTTAAGGGGAATGTATGAATCCAAACCAGTCAGTTTGGATACATTCTGACTGACATGCCACACTGCTGAGCACTCACACACATACACACACACACACTTCAACCACACCCCAATAGCTTCGCATGTAAATGCAAATGTAATTCACTTGCAGCACAGTCACATAGACACAAGCAGAACAGGCTTTGAGTTGTGCAACGCAGCTTCCACTAAGATCCAAACTGTCCCCTGATGCTACAGAACAAACCTGATGTCAACACCCATCAGTGTTCATGCAACAGTCAAAAGCTTCTTATGTCATCAAGTGGAAAAACAGCTCCACAGTCATAACTGGTGAATATTTTAGACTGAGACAACAACGCGTTGCTGTGCAGAGCTCAAATACACATCAGAGATTTGTGGTCATCAAATCACAATTTCTCAGAGCAGCTGATGTCACTGCTGTTGCACAGGTGTCCTTCAGTTCCACAGCAATAAAAGAGAGAAATAACCACACGACATGTGACATGTCAGTACTGTGGTTTCAGGCTCTGCATCACAAACCACAAATCGGCAGCGATTCAAAGAAGACAGGATCAACAGTAAAGTCGCAACAGATTCAAAAGAATAGTAATAATGATCAGAGTGGTGTGACTAATGGATGTATCTGGTAAAAAGAGAGGAAACATCAACTCCAATAGTGATGCAACACAGCAGGGTGTGAGTCAAATGACAGTTTGGCATTTCCCAGTTGCACTGACAGCACTTCTAGTTACCAACACTAAATATAGCATTTGGTACGATGTATATTGTTCATCTACATTTTTATTTTGTTTTGAATCCTCACTTGTTAAAGCCAGAGACACATGATAGGTCTTGATGTTTCAGTTGGACCATAATGCATCAAAACACTGTTTTAAAACCTTTGAACCTTTGACTTAAAATATGTAACTCCAGTGAATATGAAGAATAAAAACCTACAACTTTAAACTTTAATGTTCATTTCAGTTCAGTTTAAAGTTTAAATTAATGTTTTCAAGTACATTTTCCCCCCAGAACAAGTCAACATGACTGAGCAGAGTTAAAGCTTTAAAATGAATTAATATTCATCGTGGATACATTTGATATGCTTCATTTCTATTATTTAATGTCAGTAACCAGCTTCTTCTAACACAGTCAAGGGCCTTTATCAGTGATCTCATGTCAAAAAGATGCCATAGTACAGATCTGTGATGGACTCACCTTCTGCTGCTGCTACAGATGCCTCCAACTGAGGAGAGTCAGCTGTCTCCTCCTCTGTGTCACCTCTGCTCTGTCGGAGAGGATGAGATGGATCTGCCTGTTAAATGCCTGTAAGCTTAAAGCCAGCCAGGAGAACAGGTTAGGCAACATCAGCACCGCCTCTCCTGATGGCCCCTGTTCTCCTTGCAAGACACACACACACACACACACACACACACACACACACACACACACACACACACACAAACACACACTCACACCTTGATTCCAAAATATGTCACAGAGAGCCATGCACCAGCCTCTTGGCAGCCGAAACCTGGCTAGAAAGCACAAGAGAGAAACACTCCTTCTTAACAGGACTAACCAGAACTAAACATCCTTAGCAACACACACACACTTCATTCTGATGCTATACATGTTTTCTACAATCACAGGACATGTAACTCATAACATTTTTATTGGATCATAACAGACTTTTTCTTCATTTACAATAAGTGCTAAGTGAAATGATTACAAGCCATTTTAAAGCTTCATGACAGCTTTTATTGCTCTCATTGTGTGTGCAGATTTTACAAATCAATCAACACAACAGTAACATGTAACAACAACCGAAGCAGAAATGATGATCACGCAGTCAGGAGGACAGGAGGCAAGAAATTATAAGTGTTCACTTCAGTGATGTGAAATAAAATGTCTCAAAGGTGCAAAAACAGATGAAAAATAAAAATAATTGTGCTTGAAATACAGATGCTGTACATTTTCTTAACTATTTGACAGATTTGAAACGTTGGCTTTTGTTAACAATTTAAACTACATGCTACATTCTAAGCTGTGGTTACCAATAGCAACAAGGATGCTTCACAGTACCTTTATTCTTTATTCAATATGCGGATCCCCACACAAACAGCATATAAGTATACAACAAACAAACCAGCATTGACTGACACTCAATTATATAATTAAAAATGAAAATACTCAACATATTAGATAAGTTAAACAATACATGTATATAATTATCTTTAAAATTATTAAATAATTTCTACTTGATCTGTTAACTCAGAGGTGAAAATCAGCTAACTGTGAGTTGAACATTTTTGTAAGAAGCAGGGAGGTATCTGAGCTCAGCATGAAGTCTGGAGGCAGAGGGGAAACAGCCTGGTTACAAACTCAAAATCAGCTTTAAACTCACTAACTAGCAGAGTGTAAAAAACAGGAGGTGTTGGTTTTACCAGGGGTGACGTGTGTGTATTTCTTCTGTTACCCTCAGACAGAGCCAGGCTGTTTCAAGTCTTTATGCTAAGCTTAGCTAACCGTGGTGGAGAGATTGTTCTGTCAGCTGCTCTTTCCAAGGTCAAGAATGAACACAGAGATGGATGTAGATTTAAACACAGGCTCAGTGGTAGAAGAGCTCTGCTGTGCATCTTCAGCTCCACAGTATTTATTATTTGAATGTACTGAGGCATCATGGTTACTCACTAATTATCCTCTGTATTATCATCCTTACATTAGCAGTGGTTGAAAATGGAGAACTTTGGCTATCTCTGTCACATGCTACTTTATGTCTGACTGTATTCTACTTTTTATTCCATCTATATTTCTCTGGCAGCTACAATTAGGATTAAGATTTTAATTAGCGATAACGACAACATAAAGTCCAACCTGTGATCATACAGAGCTCCACCTCCACCAACCACAACCTGAAATGATACTCACATTCTTCATCACAAGGACTTTGATTCTTTAAATACTTGTGACCAGCCCATTATGTGTGAGGTCTTATTTGTGTTTCTATGTTTCAACAATCTCATCTAAACAAGAGTGAACAGGGGAGGATCAAATACCTGAATGCAATGTGGTGGTAATGTGATAAACATTCCTGTGATGTTAATGGGGAGCCATGTTAACTGTGTCAGAGACACGATGATTGAACCCTGTGGTAAATCTTCACGCCATCATTTATTCTGCTGGTGAACTGGTTTTACATTCTGTTCTCAGGCATTTCCGGCATTTTGAAGATAATATCACTTCAACATTCTCCTTACCCAGATGCATAGCAACCCACAGTAAGCAGCATGAGTCACCACCCAACCCATCCAACCAATTAATACAATGTGATGAGTGTGTGTAGCAGGGATTGAAGAGGGTGTGGTCAGTGTAAGACGATAGCTGAACAATGAGCCATAGAAACCAGACTACTGTCTTCATCAGGGGCAGAGGAGTGAGTCCTGTTCTCTCTTCCTCAGTGGAGTCACAGTGATAGGACAGGTGGAAACAACATGATGTAACTTCTAATGGTGACGAGGGTCATGAGGATGTGTGGTGAGGCTGCAGGTTCTTCAGAGACAGGGTTCCAGCTGAGTGGAGATAAATAACAGAGTGGCCAGAATCAGATTCTCACTTTTAGCCTCTAGTGTGGGTCGCTTACCAAAACATTGGAACCTACATTTCCCAGTATGTAACCAAGAGCATCTGCTAATACACCTGGCCAGGAAAACGCCCTCACGCCCCCAGTTTGTAATGCAGACTTTCTTTTACAAACGTCTACTCTTCCAAGATAAACTTGATGACATCATCAGACTGGACAAAGGTCTCAGATCCACATAAGACACTGTTCAGCTGTCTTCACAGACTCTTACTCTTCAGGATAGGTGGGCTGTTCTTCATGAGTCTCCAGCTGTGGTGACATGTTGACTATCAGAGAAGACACATCTGTTGACCCCTTCTCCAGATCAACTGTACAGGTACCAGGGACAGGTAAACTGGATTTTATTGGTTTTTTGCCTCTATTATGGCAGGGACAATGAGAGAGAAACAGGAAAGGTAGGAAGGAGAGAGAGAGCATGACATGCAGAAAACGGCCTGAATGCGGCAAGGACTGAGCCTAAATGGTATGCACTCTACCAGTGCCGCCCCATTTTCAGTTTTTTTATTGAAAAATGAGTTTGCGTTGGGAACTGTTGTTGGTACATGAATGATATGATATATATATATATGTGATACTGTAGTGAACAGTGGTCCAGTGGACAACTACTTGAGCTAAAGCTCAGTGCAGATCCTCTTCATTCAAACTGAAGCGGCACATCAACATGCACTTAATGGTGTAAACAAACTGAAGTTATTCAGTGTCAATCACCAGTGCACATTATGTTGAGGTCTGACAGGTGCGTTGAATGATTTCCTTCCTCATGGGACATTTGAAAAGTCAGTCTTTAACATATTTTAAATAGTAGATGAATCACATTTATGTTTGTTTACTTTGTTTGTGCATTGCTGCGACTCTTGGTATGTTATTGCCAAACATGCATGTATCTCCAGAACATGTGCATGCACAATTTTAATAATCTGATTTGTTAACTGTCATGTAAGATAGTTTTGTGTTGTTTGACTCTCTTTGTCTTTCTGACTGTCTCCACCTCAAGGCTTCCCCTCAGCTCACTGATGCTTCAGATATTCTTCTATCTTTGTACAGCCTCCTGCTCCTCAGTGACAGCTCACCTCTCCAGTCTGCTGCCTCTTGATAGTTCACTCCCACAGATTTTGACTGACTTTGTCCTTATAATAACTAATAAAATTCTATTGAAAAACTGTATTTTTTTGCTGACTTCAGATTTCTCTGATGTACCTTGGTTTTTCACTCACTGTATATGTGAGATTTATAACTGAATATTAATGACATGAAATTGAACTTTTGGGACGGAGTATTTTAAAGTATAAGCATACAAATATACAAAATACTGAAAATAATATCAAATATGGCCAGAAATGTTTAGTTTGTCAAACCAATCTACCTCTAATGGAAATGCAACAAAGAGGAATCCCTGATATTCTGAACAGAGTTCCTCTTTAACATTCAGTTACTACAGTTAATCAAGTTGCATTGTGAAGAACTGCTCCCCCCACAGAACTCAGCCAATGAACAACTGAAGTCATTCAGAGCTCATGACTCTTTTTAAGCCTTGTCCCTGGTTGCAGTTGTGTGGAGATGTAGATGAAGCTTTTTCAGGGTGTATTTGTATGTGTATGTCCACATGTCCTTTGATAGGGAAATGAATTTCAGCAGTTTGTTGGTTCAGTTTCTGTCCTCTCAGTCCCCCAGGCAGATGATCTTGAATCAGGTGGGAGGAATGTAGCAGGACATCACTGCTCAGCCTGCAGATCATTAAGACTGATTATTGTAGGGACTAAATCTGTGACCACAGAGTGTGAATGATACAATGACAATCAGGGGGGTCAACCAGTTCTCCAGGGGTAAAGGAAACCCAGTACAGCACAGGCACGTGAACTGAGGTGTTGGACACACAATATTCTAATATTATTTAATAGGTTACAACTACCACCATAATTTAAACCCTGTGTGAGCAGCTTCCTCCTCCTTCCTCGGTTTACAACAGGCCAGTCAGAGAGAGAAATATGGAGCAGAAAACTAGAGTTAAATGGCCGAGGGCAAATAGCAAGAAAGAATGGGAGTCAGTCAATAGAGATTTGTCAGTAATTTTAAGCAGACTAGGAGGAAATGCAAGCGATAGACTAGAGAAGATGGGAGATATAATTTACTCCTATGGTGCAGAAAGATTTGGGGTGCAAGACAGAAAGAGGGTTGAAAGAGCACAGTTAGTTAAGTCCAGACGGCAAAGGGAAATGGAGAAATTAGTTAAGGAAAGAAGACAATTAAGAAAGCAGTGGAAAAGGGCTACAGAGGAAGAGGGGGGAGATTAATGTGTTGCAAGAAGATTTGAGAGGCAGGCTAGCAGTACTTAGAAGGGCTGTGTGAAAAAGAGAAAAAAGAAAGAATATGCAAGGACAGCGTTTTACAGGGACCCCTTCAAGTTTGTTAAAGGATTGTTTAACCAGGAAAAGGGAGGGCAGCTTAAGGCAACAAAGTTAGAAGTAGAAAAGTATCTAAGAAACACGTATTCAGATTTTGAGCAGGATGGAGTAGTAGGCCTTCCACCCGACATGCCACCATTAGGAAAGATAGATCATGAGATGGACGTTAGACCACCCAGGTGGAAGGAGGTTGAGGAGGTAGTCAGGCGTGCAAAGGCTTCTTCGGCCCCA